AGTAGAAGTGCCTGGACCATAGTCAGTGCTCAAAATATATAATTATATTATTTTTTGGAAAGGTAACTAAAGATGGCTTATCTTTATAAACTTTATTGTTTTTTTTTTAGATTTTATTTATTTATTTGAGAGAGAGAGAGATAGCAAGAGAGAGCACAAGCAGGGGGAGTAGCAGAGGGAGAGGGAGAAGCAAGGTCCTGGCTGAACAAGGAGCCCAACATGGGGCTCGATCCCAGGACCCTGAGATCATGACCTTTTGTCGAAGGCAGATGCTTAACCAACTGAACCGCCCAGGAGCCCCTATAAGCTTTATTGTTAAATTCTTTTCCATATTAGTAATTTCTAAAAAAAACCCAGTGTAATGTATTCCTTCATTTATGTAAGGAGGTCTATAGCATTTTAGAAGATGTGACCTTCCCACTATTATCTATGGTGGGCTACTAAGACCAAACTTCATTGCCCAGAATACTTATTTATTACAAAATATAGCAAACACATTTTCCCTGATGCCACCTCTACTAAAATTAATACGTCCATGTGAATGTGTGCCCGGGGCCATCTTGTGGAGGAGACGGGGCAAGCTCCGCCCAGGGGCATGGACTATGCTGCTGTCCTTCATGCCCATGAGGTGATGGTGACATGTCGTGGTGCCTGCTCTCTGAGCATGGTCTCATTGTCAGACAGGCACAGTCCGTGAAAGGCAAAACTTTCAATATGTCCACATGGCGGAACAAATAGTCTTTGTTTCCGGTTTTTTTCTGAAATCTCATGTCCTAATGCAAACCAAAGACCCCCTTGTCTAACCTCAGCTGATAGTTAAGTGGGTGATACCAAGGTCCCTGTTTTCAAGTATTTTCTTTTTTCTTTTTTTTTTTTTAAAGATTTTATTTATTTATTTGACAGAGAGAGACACAGAGAGAGAGGGAACACAAGCAGGGGGAGTGGGAGAGGGAGAAGCAGGCTTCCCGCCGAGCAGGGAGCCCGATGCGGGGCTCGATCCCAGGACCCTGGGATCATGACCTGAGCCGAAAGCAGATGCTTAATGACTGAGCCACTCAGGCGCCCCTGTTTTCAAGTATTTTCTAACCTCATCCTAGTGTGAACAAGAAACAGGGATCCATTCACACATTCAAACACTTCTCTTGGAAATCAATATGTCCAGTCAAGTCCCCATGGCAAGTGGGATGTTTGCAGAAGTTCCTCCTGGGGAGTTAAAGTAAAACATGTTTCCATAAGTAAGGTAGAAGCCTTTCCTTCCTTCCTTTATTTAATTTATTCTAGTACTGTTTGTGTTTTCAAAACTGTAGGAAAATAAAAAGATGTAGTATATATTGAGATAGATATTGCTATGTAGAGAACATACAATATATTTTATATATGCATTTATCTCATATAGAAGAGTTTAGGATTCTAATTTTCAGATGTTGATTTGTGACATGTTCAATCATGTTTCAGATGAGTCCAGTTGAAGCATAAAAATAATACATTTTACATAGTTTACGACTAAAAACAACACTGACAAAATTTTGATATCAGTAATAAAAAAGGAATTGATATCTTGGAACCCAAGATATCTGACACTAATTACTGAGGACACTAATTCTCTTGTCAGATTATCCTAATTATGCAGTGCACCCTCAGAGGCTGAGAAGAAAGAGAAATGTCTTTGTCATTGAAATAACATCCTATAGTAATTTGTTAATTTTCCTTCACTATATGCCTCAAATACGACAAATGTATATATTTTTATTAGTTGGGCCTAGTCCTGCATACTTGTATTTTACATATTTCTGCCTTTATTTATGTAAGATTTTTACCATGTATGGCCTAAATGTATTAAAATCATAATTTATTTGCTACATCTCTTCTTTTTCTATGCTCACTTTATAGGAATATTTAGAATGTATTGAAAAATTATATAAACTGAAACCTGAAAATTTGGATTTGAAAGATAATTTAGAAGAAGCCAGGATGCAGATTAACTCATGGATTGGAAATAAGACAAAAGGTAAGGGATCTAAGACTTCTTTTCCTCAATCTTCTTCTTCTTTTAGGAATAATTTACATTGAGTGGAATACTCCGATTTTAAAAAGTATACTTGGACAGTTTTGACAAATGCATATCAAGACACAGAACATGTCCATCATCCTGAAAAGTTCCTTTGTGCCACCAAGCAACCATTGATTTGATTCTATCATCAGAGGTTAGTTTTGTCTATTTTAAATTTCTAAATAAATGCAGTATAGTATGCACTTTTTTGTTAACTGCTTTTCTCATTCAGTGTATTATTTTTGAGATCCATTCAGGTTTTTAGATGTATCAATGGCTTGTGCCTTTTTGTTGCTGAGTAGAATTCCATGTATGAATCTACCACAGTTTGTTTATCCATTCTCCTGTCAATAGACATTTGAGTTGTTTTCAGTTTGGGGTTATGATGAATAATGTTGCTGTGAACATTTTTGTAAAAGGCATTTTGTGTACATATCTTTTAATTTCTCTCATGTACTTAGTAGTAGAATTGCTAGGTCCTAGTCTAGAGACGTAGAATTGCTAGGTCCTAGTCTAGAGACGTGTTTAACTTTTGAACAACTGGCAAATAGTTTCCCAAAGTGGCTGAACCATTTTACACTCTCACCAGTTCCATATGAAAGTTCCAGTTGCTCCAAATCCTCTCCAATTTTTTAGTGTTGTAAATATGTTTCATTTAACCATTTCAGTGGGTTTGTAGTAATGTCTCATCGTGGCCTTAATTCACATTTCTCTGATAACTAATGACATCAACTATCATTTTTCATGTCTCTTGGACCTTAATATATCTTTCTTTATAAAGATTTTTCAATTGGATTGTTTTGATTTTTGAGTTGTGGGAACTCTTTACATATTCTCAAGACAAATAATTTTGTCAGATGCATATATTGCTAATATTTTCTCCCAGTCTGTGTCTTGTGTATTTATTTTCTTAACTGTGTTTTTGATGAGAAGTTTTAATTTTAATGAAGTCCAATTTATCAATATTTTTCTTTTATGGTTTATGCTTTCTGTATACTCTCTAAGAAAGCTTTGCTTATCCCAGGGTCACAAAGATATTCTCTTTTGTTTTCTTTTCCATTTATTATTTTAGTGTTTACATTCAGGTTTATGATCCACTTCAAATTGACTTTTATGTAGGAAGTGAAATAAAAGTGAAGGCTCTTTCTTTTTTCCATGTGAATAACTGGTTATTTCAAAATCATTTGTTGACAATCTAAAGACATTTTTAATTTCGTAAAATGAAAAACCATGACAGTTTCTTATTAATTTTATTATTGAGAAGTAAGGAGGCATAAAAAGCATAAAATCTTTCTTCTGCCATTTTCCCAGTGATTTCTTTTGCTTGATTTGAGCAGAAACTTGTTGTCAGGTGACAGTGGTGATCTGCGAAACTACCTACTCTGACATTCATGTTTTCAGCATATGGTGGTAGGAGGAGAAAGGTCACAGGAAAGCCAAGGCTGAATGGTTAATGTGTTAGGATCTCTAAACCGCCTCTTAACTGGGTAACTTAATCGTCAAATACATTAAATCGCTTTTTTAACTTCAACAGGATTCCTAACTTTTAAAATCCCCCTTTCCTGTTAGATGGTGCTGATGATGAATACCTTTATGACACTTCATCTACACCAGACTGTTCTGAGTCTTTCACATTTATTACATCTACTGTCTCATCTAATGCCAGTGGGAATAATTCCTATCCCATGGCTCATCAGGTGTGTTTCTCTCCCCAGAGGTGAAATGCAGACCCTTATCACCCAACAGCCTCATGGCACCCCATCATCAGGTGTTGTGCCTTCCAGAAAGACCACACCGAAGCAGTGGCTTTCAGGTTGGATGAAGTAGTCTCCTGTCTTAATTTATTTTTCTTTTCAAGGCAATCCTCAACAGTTTTGCCCTTAAAATACGTTACATTATTTCTGGCTTTAGGCAGGTAATGAATTTCTAAGCGACTGTCCTAAGTGCATACTCAACTAAGTGCAGAGTTGGATTTACAAAATGTTGGTTTTGCTATTAAACCTTTCTTTTAAATTCTCCATAGTATTTTTACCCTTTCTGAAAATAGAGATACTATTTTTGGCATTCCAGTTGTAAAATGAAGAAGTGGTATAAAATATAGACCTTGGAATTGTTTAAAGTGGGTTTGGGCTTTGGGCTAAGCTTAAATCATTATTAAAGAATTCACTAACTGCAAACTGGAAATGAGGCAGTTGATGGAGAACAAGGAATCAACACTTTCAGAACTAATCGGCAGGTCATTTGTAAAATGGGTGTGATCTTAAGCAAAGCCAAACCAGAGAACAAGATTCACAATCACAATAAAAGTTTCCACGTGTGCTGTCTTGCTCCCACCTCCAGTTTTCTTTTCTTCAGCTTTTCTTAGTGCCCCGAAGGTGTCCAAGATATCAGGCTGCACCCAAAATCAGACATGTCATTTAATAAAAAAGAATGGATTTGTATATGATAACTCAGTCCCTAAACTATCAAATGTGTTTATTCTCTCAAATGCTTGAAATTGTTGGTCAACTTAAAATCTGTTATAGTCAACTATAAAAATAAAGAGGGTTTATAGTTCTGAATAAAATGTTTTTATGCAAAAGGAATAGTGAATGACTTTAAGGAAAAAAATAACCCTCTAGCCCAACACATCAGTCACATCTGGAAGTATCTAGTATTCTCTTTCTAAAGAATATTACCATCACATATTGGGGTCATAACACATAGTGAAATTATGTTCTTTTTTATTGCTGATGTTTTTTAAAAATGCAGATTCCAGGGCCACGTTCCTGAAGATTTGCAAAAAGTGCTTGAGTATTTGCATTTTTTAAATAGCCCCCGTAGGTCCTTCCAAGGATCAGCCCAGTTGGGGGACCCCAGTATAAGGAAAATGCAGTGGAGATTTTAGCAGGATTCATAGAGAGATACTTGAGGGGTAAGCATACCCAAAAAGGAGCACATCTGCTAGAGGAAACAGTTAATCAATTGGAATCTTTAATTTCTAGTGAAATCTGGTCCCTTTGGTTTACATACACAATGCAAGTATCTTTATGTTATGTTCACTAGCATGTCATACAGAAAAACAAAATATGGTTGGGGTCACAACTAGATTTCCTTAAAGTGGTCTCATTATATGGAACTCACTTAGCTACTTAGCTCACTTATATTCTTAGCTGTTTTGTGACTACTTTGTACCATGCACCTCAATGCTGCAGATTAGTCCAGATGAGTCACATTTTACTTGATCTGGAAAGATTTCTAAATTATGTTCTTGAAAGGATCTATCTGACTTTTAAAAAGTTTTCCTGATAAGATCTTTTGGTGCACATTTCCCAGTTCTTTGAAGTGAATTAACTGCTTCTGGGCATCAACCACATCCAGTTGAGTGAAAAGAACATATTGAGAGACAGACATTTTGTCCTTCAGCAGCTGCTTTGTTGAGGTGACTCTTCCTTTCAAATCATCACGATAGTGATCAGATATTTCTGTGGAAAGAGACATAGATTTCATTTTGGTCACTGCAATGTAGGCAACGTTGGAGGATGAATATAAATGTGAATTTCCCATGCCTTAAATGGAACAATAAGAAGAAATTGGCTTTGTTGTTTCCCTGGTTTTACTTTTACAGCCCCAGAGCAAAGCCCAGCGGATAATGCAACCACAAGGGCACTTGAGAATGGTCTCCGTACAGGAGCCCCAGGCACAGGTCCTCACAGTGCCCGCCGCCGAGGGCCACCTGAGTGTGGTCATCCTGCTATCCAGCGGGGATGTCGTCCTGGGACAGGGAAACCACTGGCCTTTGCAGACAGAGCCACAAGAAAAGGCTCTGCTTGAGGATTCCATGCAGAAGGCTTGGAGCTTTAGAATAAGCACTTACGTGACTACTTAATGCAGTGTTATGTCCACTTGAAAAAAAGAATCAGAAGCCCCAAATGAAGGACATGTCCTTGCGCTAGGATGTGTTGCTTCTATTTGTATAAATTTTAGGCTTGGGGCACCTGGGTGGCTCGGTCGTTGGGCGTCTGCCTTCGGCTCAGGTCATGATTCCAGGTCCTAGGATCGAGCCCCGCATCGGGCTCTCTGCTCCGCAGGAGGCCTGCTTCTCCCTCTCCCACTCCCCCTGCTTGTGTTCCCTCTCTCGCTGTGTCTCTCTGTGTCAAATAAATAAATAAAATCTTTAAAAAAAAATTTTTAGGCTTTCAAAGCCGTCCCCACATTTCCTCTTTCAGTCCTCATGGCTGGTTGTTGATTTACATATACTTTTTTCAGAAAATATTACACATTGACATCTCTTTTGGACCTGCTGCCAACCAACTAAATTAATTTCCACCAACACCCAAGGCCCAAACATACAAACTCAATGCTCAGGCTTTTCCCTGTGCTTCCTTCTCTGGTACTTTCCCCTGAGCCCCACGTGGATGTTTTGCTCTACACTGTGACGGTGTCTGCTTGCTCCCAGCATCGAAAGGATCTAGTCCCTGCAGCTTTCTTTAAATTCCTTTCTTTCCTCCTTCACTTCTGCATTTTATGCATCTCTCAAGTTCACGTCCCTCCCACCTGTTTCTCTCTGGCTACAGACTTCTCATCCTCCCCTTTACTCTTTCTTCATCCCTGGTGGCAAGGATCATTACTGGTCCTGTGAGGTGACCATGCTGGGAGTGGCAGCCCATCAGGGGCAAGAAACCTGGGGACCAAGCCATGATTTGCTCAGTATTTCATAGCTACTCATGTCGGTGATGCCATGAGAGCCCAGTTCCCTGGCTTCTCAGCCCGCTCCGGCTTGGTGTTTAAGTTATTCAGATGCTGTATGAACATGGCTGAAAATCAAAATCTCAGTTCTTATGTATAATTATATTTCCACATAAGCAAATGTAGAAATATGATTGCTATAGTCTGTGAAGAAAAATAAGACAGACCTGAAAAAGACAGGGTTAGTGAGCATCTATTTTACATTGGACAAGGGAAAACCTTTCTGATAAGTGAGGTTTGAGTTATTGCTAATTAAAAATTATTAATGCCAGATAGTAGTATTATTTTAGAGTTCCTTTCCCATGGTTCGACAATGCATGAATGCTGAATGTAGGTGGCAACATTGAAATCTGACCATGGTTTTTGCCACAAACTCACTACAGGGCTGTGGGACAGTGTGTTAATCTCTCCAAACCTCACTTTATCCACCCCATGAAGACGTTACAGTAAATGATCCCTATGGTTCCTTTTAGCTCTTAAATTTGATAATTTCATGAAAGTTCAGTGAAATGGCATCCATCTAATATAAACTACATGATTACACTGTCAATACTTTGTGGTGTACTTCAATATCCTTGACATGAATCATAAAATTGGAACATTTTAGAATGATGTTAAGATCTCTGAGAAGTAAGCAGATTCTGAAGTACAGTCACAGTTGGATGAAATGATCTTAAAGAGGGAATGGGGTGCAGTTAGTAGGTCTTTATGGTCAACCACTTTTCTCCTGTTATGATACGTCATGTTAATTCATCTCTGTGCATGAGGATAGTCATCTCTGTTTTGTAAATGAGTATGAGTTGAAGGCAGTATATGATGGATGTCAATTCCATGCAAAAAAGTTTTTTTTCTGCTTGAGATTGTATTGGTTGGTGTGTGGTCTGCCTAACCCCAGATAGATTCCATCCCCAACACAGTCTAAAGGAGCCATGGGACACTTAAACCTCCTCCCAGCAAGGACCCCTGGAATGAGGAGAAGCAAGAGAAGGCGCCCTGTGAAGAGGAAAGGAGGAAAGGGGCTCTGCGTTAGGGACCATGTTTGTTGTCTTACAATATTTCGTGGCCCTGGGGAAGAAGGAATGGGTAATGTGTGGCTCCCCGAGTGAGAACTAAAACAAATAGGTGGGAATTACAGGGAAGGAGGTTTATGGTCAAAATGGCAAGGGCCTTTCTTGCAAGCTGAGCTGGGCAACCCTGGAGCCCAGCTGTTTTTATAGAGGTGAACCATTGACACAAGGGCTTCTCAAGTGGGTGCTGGTTGGTGGTGCCAATGCTGTGAGAGACGCTTCTCGAAGGTCTCTTTCAAATTTAAGATTATTTCATTCTAATCATTTACAAATGTTGCTTGGATATAAATTCAGTGTCTTCGGATGCCTGACTAGTGAGAATGTTGGTTTGAGTTGAGGTAGAAAAGAAATTGGTCAGTTTAGAATTATAATTTATGTCATCAAAATCAGAGGATCTCAGTTTCCAAAGGTGTATTTTTTTAAAAAGATTTTATTTACTTATTTGAGAGAGAGAGAGAGCACAAGCAGGAGGAGTGGCAGGCAGAGGGAGAAGCAGGCTCCCCGCTGAGCAGGGAACCCGACGTGGAGCTTGATCCTAGGACCCTGGGATCATGGCCTGAGCCGAAGGCAGACGCTTAACCGACTGAGCCACCCAGGCGTCCCTCAAAGGTGTCTTTTTAATGTGGATGAGAGAAGAGTGTAGGCACTTACGTAAAGTGTGCAATTATAATACATGTTGTGCTATTTATAGAGGGTCGTAAAAGGAAGAAAGTAGCAATTCCCTGTGATGATTTATTTTTTCCCACATGACTCTGGGATGGTGTGTCAAGGCAGAGATTCCAGGGCTCACATGCTTCAGTTGCAGTTCCCGCACACAGCTGCGTTTTCCCCACTTATTCTTTTTTTTTTTTTTTTTTAATATTTTATTTGACAGAAACACAGTGAGAGAGGGAACACAAGTGGGGGAGAGGGAGAAGCAGGCTTCCCGCTGAGCAGGGAGCCTCATGTGGGGCTCGATCCCAGGACCCTGGGATCATGACCTGGGCCGAAGGCAGACGGTTAATGACTGAGCCACCTGGGCGCCCCTCCCCACTTATTCTTATAGAACCTGCTTTCCAAAATGACAAGGGAAAGTAGCCTGACCTATTCAGAACCTCACATCCAGCCTTTCGAATGCTTCACATTTGCGTATAATTTTTTCTAACTAAAATTTTTCATATTTTAACCATGAGAGACAATGGACTCTGAAAAACAAACTGAGGGTTCTAGAGGGGAGGGTGGAGGGAGGGTGGGTTAGCCTGGCTGGTGGTGGGTATTGAGGAGGGCACGTTCTGCATGGAGCACTGGGTGTTATGCACAAACAATGAATCATGGAACACTCCATCTAAAACTAATGATGTAATGTATGGGGATTAACATAAAAATAAAAAAAATAAAAAAAAATTTTTTTCATATTTTGCTTCCTGCTTTCTTTCCCATGGGTTGCCAAGGAGAAACTGAAGGACTGCATATGTTCGGCCAACATGACCGACACAGCTGTGGTTCTGCACCTGCCCCCGCTCGGACTTGACCAGTGTCATGGAGATGTAACTTTCATATTGGCGGCTTTGGGAATGCCAATGTCTTGGACCCCTCGAGGGCTAACTTGTCTGGCATAACTGCAGGAAGAGGCTTTGTGGTCTCCAGGATAATCCATAAGGCCATGCTAGAGGTTTCTGAGGGTGGTGAGTTAGCACTTACCAACCAAATGAGCAAAGTGGAAAATCCTGACATCTTCAAGGTGGGTGGTCCTCTCCTCTTCTTTATCTTACACAAGGAAACTAAGATGGTTCTCTTCTATGGCAGAATATCCAGCCTATAAGGAAGGGAATGAATTTATATTCAAACCACTCTAATTCTTCAAATCAGCTGGATTTTATGAGCTTGAAGAAAACTTTCAGTAGAGTTGCAACTAAAAGAGATATGATATGCTTCATAGCAATATTTTTCTTTCAACTATCTCATGTAGAATATCCAACTCATTCTTCCTTGGGTTGGTTTACATTGGTTAAAGAAGTTATAGCATGACATTAATTGTACTTATTAAAAAATTAGGATCAATGCTGCTTCTTTCTTTGGTAGCCTTCAACTTACTCATAAACCTCATTCATAGGTTGCTAAAACTCAGAATACTGCCTTTTTCCAAAGAAACAATGTTATTCAGTGTGATTAGGTCACCAAGCGAGTTCTTCAGAACTCATTTACCTCACCTGCAGCTGAACTGTGCTATTAGTGAGAGGAGCTAACCTTCGCTAGGCATGAGGCATGTGCCTAGCACTCACAATCACAACTTCATGTAGTTCTCATCAAAACCCTCAGTGGCAGGATTAGTTTCCTCCATTTTAAAGATGAGAACCTGAGGCTTAGGCTTAGTCATTCAACACACAAATGAAAAGTGACAGACTGGATTTTAAAACCCAGAAAGTCTGATATAAGACCCTAGACCTTGACCATGATCAGCCCTGCCCTATTTCCTGGTTTGTGTTGTGAGACTCAGAGCCAGGGCCTCGATGGTAGAAAATGAAGCAGACAGGAACAGAAGGGAGTCATTTCCCTCCTTTCCCTCCTGTGGGAATGGGTACAGGTTAGAATAAAACTTATAGAAGATTTTCAAGTGGACAAAAAAGTTTCACACTTGAAATCATTTCATAGGCAAGTGTGCTTTATTTGATGCTAGTTCTCTTTTCTGTATTTATCTCCACTTCATCACACTCTTCGTTCTTCCGGCCTTTAGGTGTTCATCGTCTCAAGTCCTTCTCCAGGGAACCCTGAGAATGGAATGGAAAGAGCCCTGGATTTGGTGTCAGGTTATCTTAGTTGGGCACTGAGAAGCCAACAGGCTTGGGGAGGCATCCCCCCCTCAGAGCTCGGTCTCATTCCTGTGCAGAATGGATTTTCCAGGTCAGCCTGCTTCACTAGGCTGCTGGCAGATTCAAAATCCACACACAGGGAAGGGCATGGTAAGTTGTTAACTCTAAAATTACAGAGGCACCTGCGTGGCTCAATCGATTACATGTCGACTCTTGATTTTGGCTCAAGTCATGATCTCAGGGTCCTGGGATGGGGCCCTACCTCGGGCTCCGTGCTGAGTAGAGAGTCTGCTTGAGGATTCTCTCTCTCTCTCTGCCCCTCCCCACACATGTGCACGCTGTCTCTCTCTTGCAAATAAATACATAAATCTTAAAAAATAAAATAAAATTACATGTTGCCGAAATGCACAGCTGTCTGGAGCCCTGCACAAAGGCCTCAAAGAATGCTCTTTGGGCCATCCCTTCCTTTGATGTGTCTCTCCCTTACCCACTCTCTGCTTTCTCCCTCTTATGGGAGAATTTTGCTCCTTCTTCATGTCTACAGGCTTGATTATCTAATGCCAATTCCTTACTTACCCTGGTGGTGTCATTTTGCAGTCATTCTGCATTTCTAGTTTTATCTGGTGGGAATGATTTAGAGAAATGGTTTTGATCATTTTTCTCAGATTTTTAGAATTTGAATTGTATGTCTACTTTTAAGTGAGTTGGGGCCACATCCCAAACTCACAACTAGTTCAATCCCTTCACTCATGTCAGAACATTGCTTTTTAAAAAGTTTTACCATTTAAATTTAAATTTATTGATATAATAAATCTAATATTAACCACTTCCCTTAAATCATTTGATTGGTAACTTGTATCAGGTGAATCATTCCAGTGATGCTAATGCATTGTAACGAGATTGTTTCTCAATCTCTGCTACCTCACAATTTAGATTTTAATTGCTTTAGGTTGGATATAGCAATTATATTTTGACAGGACTGAATAAAAATTCTGTAATGTATAACCACTGGGGAAATATTGGTGGTGATGTACTATTAAAAATTTACTAGTTGGGCGCCTGGGTGGTTCAGATGGTTAAGCGTCTGCCTTCGGCTCAGGTCATGATCTCAGGGTCCTGGGATCGAGTCCCGCATCGGGCTCCCTGCTCCTTGGGAGCCTGCTCCTCCCTCTGCCTCTCTCTCTCTCATGAATAAATAAATAAAATCTTTAAAAAAAAAATAAATAAAAATTTACTAGTTGCTTAGAGTGTTTTTCATCAAGTCACTTTGTACACCCTAGTAACACATTCCCAGAATTTGTTTAAATATCTTCCATTGTCTAAGCTGACATTTGAGTCATCATAGTTTCCAAATGAAGTACTGTCAGAAGCAGCCAAAAAGGTATGAGAAGACAATTAATGCTGGACAAGCGGAGGAAGTGAAACATAAAAGGTGGAGAGCAAGGCCAAGTATACAGTAACATACAGAAATATTCTAACTATGGGTTTTTTTCATTGTAATGCTGGGGATTTTTCTTCTTTTTTAAAATTGTATGTCCATGCCCCTAATCAGTTAAACAGGAAAAAAAAAAAGAGGAAAGGAAAAGAGAAGAAAAGAAAAGGGAAAAAAGTGTAATTGAGAAAAGTGGGACTCACACAGTTTTGTGAACTATTTTCTACAAAAACAGCAGTTGACATCTGAAGAGTCTAATCTTTAGTTCAAACAGAATGTATAGAGGCTGAGTGCTAAACCACCCGCTCATGCACACATGTATGCATGCATTCTCTCTAAAATAAGTGAATAAATCTTTAAAAAAAATTACAAATCTAGGGCACCTGGGTGGCTCAGTTGGTTAAGCAACTGCCTTCGGCTCAGGTCATGATCCTGGAGTCCTAGGATCGAGTCCCACATCGGACTCCCCGCTCGGTGGGGAGTCTGCTTCTCCCTCTGACCCTCCCCTCTCTCATGCTCTCTCTGTCTCATTCTCGCTTTCTCAAATAAATAAATAAAATCTTTAAAAAAAATTACAAATCTAATATTGTTTAGTACTACTCTTAACAAACATTTTTGAAAATAAATGCTTTAAAAAAACTAACAATGGTTTCTAGTAGATAAGATAGATTGAAGAAAAATGCCTTTACTTCAAATAAAGAAGATTTGTTTTAAAAGAGTCTGGAATACGTGTGGAATATACACAGACAGGCAAAAGGGACCATGGAGTTGCATAATAGCATGAACCATAGGTTCAAAGAAATTCCTTACTTCATACTTGATAAATATATTTCATTTCTTTTCATCACATTTACATCTTTATATGCCTCACCTTGTATATAGCTTACTCAGTCCCTCGGTGTACAGCTATACTTGGATTTCTACATGAATTGAAAGTACTAATGAAGTTAGTCAATGAGCCAGCCTCCGCCCATTGCTTGAACATCCATACGGAACATGGCGCCACCCAAAGATTTCTCTCTCCACCTCCAACATAGCAACAAGGAGACTCCATTGCACAAGAAAAACCTCAGCTCCCTCACGCAGCTGTCTTTCTAGGGCGGAATGCCTGAGGGCTGTTCTCTGTGCAACTCTGTTCCAGCAGGTATGTGCTCCTGTTTTAAGAAAAATTTGGCATGAGATTAAAGATAAAATTTGAAACGAAGTATCTTATGAATTAATCTCTTTGATCTTGGCATTCAGAAATTGACAACAAGGAATAAAGGGAGCAAATCTGTCAAAATAATGAATAAATCATTAATAGCTTCACCTGACTCTCTCTTAGACCAAGACATCTAGGCCAAAGGATCAGGAGTCAACACTTGTAAATAATTTTATGAGAGTAATTAAAATTTCAGAGCAGAAAACCATATATTTCCATATGGAGAATAATACTGTTTGAGAAATGAAGTTTAAATGTTTTTCTAAATCTGCTGTTTGGAAGCAAGTATTCTATTTAGGAATTGTTTCTAAACCAGAAAAACATAAAAGCTATGGACTATAACTTATACAGTATCTTATTTTTCCCTATTGAAACATAGATAATTTTCTAGAAAAGAACCCTCCCTCTACCCCTGTGGCTATTCTACAAAATTCTAACAACCCATGTCACATACTCTATAGTAATACTGATAAGCAATTTTAATATAAGCAATAAAACGTAAGAGTAAGTAATAATAATAATAATGATGATGATGATCTAAACAAACATAAGAAGAAAAGCATTTATTTGCTTCCAGTTTTAATTAATAATTTTATCTGGGTCATGATTTGCTTAGGTCAGAGGCTGACAGTAGTATTTCTAAACTTGGGTAGGACTTTTGATCTATGAAGACACAGAGAAGACACAAAGTAAGGCTGACATGAGACAAATGCCTTGAATTTAATAAGGTGCTAGTTAATAAAGTGAGGAAAGATGTTTGAAACTACTGCATATTAATACCTTCCTTAGCACACAGATTTTAAAGATAACTCAATTTATTTTGTGTATAGCTCCTTTTTTGCAGCAGGCTCTAGTAGAATCTGTAAATAAGAATCCGTATACTTAGTCTTGTTATATTATTATTGTTATAATATATTACAAACTTATTTAATACATATATTATATGTATTACATTGTATTTTTATTGTCAAATATTTTGCCAGGCTAGTTAGGGAATTGGGTGGGACAACTTAGGTGCATAAACAAGAAGAAGCAGTGGGGGAAACTCAGTAAAATTTTTTCTCAAAGCATTTTCCGCCCAGACTATACCAAGGCTGTTTATATCCTTGCAATACTGATGAGCACCTTTCACTTTAGCTGAGGCCATATTCTTTTTCAGGGTAAAAATTCATTTCAGTTACAGTTTATATGCTGTTTTTAGAAACATGGGGATTGGGATGAGAAAGAGAATTTAAATTAAAAAAAAAGAGAATTTTCACATATACAAATTATTCAGGCCCTAAATGTTGTCCTGTTTTAATCCTATCTATCACGTAATAATCAAATATCTATCATCCAGTAGTATGAAGTGGGTACAACCACCCATCAACACAATCTGGAATCAGACAAGGTTTGGGAGGATTAGGAAAAATGATTGAGAACACTAAATAAAGACTGGATTTCACTTTAGCCTAGTATCATCGTAACCTCCAGGTAAGTATGAGAAAACTGCTTCTGTGTAAAGTATCTTGTCAGGAACCTACCCGCCTCCTCCCTCCGTTGCCCCACCCCCACATGCAGAGAGGAGAGTGTAGCAAAAAGAATCTTGTTGATTTAAATCAGAATGTACACATTACTTTCATTTTCATGTGTAGAAACAAAACAAAAATTCTTCATACTGTTAAATTACTTTCCTTCTGTTTATCACAGTAATTCTTTGAATAAAAACTGAGTTTTCTCTATTTCATAGCTGGAATATGCTAGATCAAGACATGTAGTTGTTATTGTTGTTGTTTTTAATGGTCTTAGGCTCTAAGAACAAACTGGCAGAACTCTTGAACTCTAAAACTGCCCTCCTGAGGGAATTCGTCAGTGAATTTTAACCTGAGGATTCTTCAAAATGACCAAATCATTACAAAACTCCCATCTGTAAGGTGGTGGATGGAAATATGAATATAGAATAAAATTCCCCCAATTTTTCTTTTCTAGTGGTGGCAACAGACACAATGATTTAATTTTAATGGAAAGCAAGATGTCTTCTTTTAAGAGTTTCCATGAATTAAATATTGCATGCCATGCCTTCAGGAAGCAAAGTGCTTAACTGGCAAACCCACACATAGCATAAACACATGATAAATACATGTAGCTCTGAGTGGGATGCCCTCTATTTTACTGGACTTTTTAAAGTCATGGACTCCTTTTAGAATCTGATAAAAGCTATTGATCTTTCCTCATAAAATGACCCACGCACATTCACACAAAATGCTTCACACAATTTCCCAGACCTCTTTAAGTTGTGCATGGATCCCAGGCTAAGAAGTGCTGGTGTACGTAGCTCTATCTTTGTATTAGTGCTTCTTGAACCCATCCAGGTGGCAAAGCAACTGAACATGATGATCATCTTTGTGAATCATCACCGGTTTTTAATTCACCATACAATCTAGAAAAAATTATTTATGTGTCTGGGGTGATCCTGTGATCTTTGAGATAGTGAATACGCTCTTCTCTACAACATTTCATGTCATGTACTTTTATGATTCTTGCTGGAATTTAGCTAGCATACCTCCATAAATAATATCTTCTCTCTCTCATTAATTTGTACCTTGTTTAAATTAGCTTAAGATATTATATCCATTAGCTTGTTATTCTTTATCATGCACAAATTTCCCTGAATCTGGCCACTGGAAGCCCCCTCAAGGCAGACACCAGGTTATTTTGACATGTCCTCATCCTGCTTTGAGCACTTCCTTACTCTTTAGTCCAACAAGATATCCTAGGATTATCCTGTACATTCCCTGTCCCATTCCTGAGAATTTTCTCAGCCAGTTCTTTGAGAAGCTCTAACTCCCTTTAGTAAAGAATGGTATTTAGAAAACGATTTGGGTGCTAGGGGTACCCTGTTCTTTATGGGTATCTCCATTTCTAAGCCATTTCAGTAGCCAGAGATAGAAAATTAACATGATATATGCTATGCTATGATGTATAATATAGTATAGTATAATATAATACAGTATAATATAATATAATATAATATAATATAATATAATATAATATAATATAAATGTTCATGTGTTTACGCTGGTAGCCATGCATCAAATCCAGCCCTGCGGGATTTGTCCTCACCTTACTCCATTTCCTATTTGTGAATCATTCTCCCACAGTGAAGGACCTGCTTCTCAGAAACATCAATATATTTACTTCCTATAATACATACAAAAATTGTTTTAGAAACAGTTTAGAACTCTTTAACAGGGTGAAGATGACTAGGAAGCAACATTCCATGAGTTCTTACTGACCCCTAGTGTTTTCTTTGCTGCTTCTGTAGTTTTTCAAATAGTTCTCCATGAAGGGGTCACCTGTTCTGCCTCAGGTTTTCTCACCCTCAACATTAATGGTATTTTCTGCCAGATGATTCTTTGTTGTGGTATGTGCAGGACTGTCCTGCATATTGAGAGATATATAGATTTAGTAGCATCCATTGTCTCTACCAACTCGATAGGAATAGTACCGCTTCCTCCCAAGTTGTGACAGTCACAAATGTCACAAATGTCTTCAGACATTGCTAACACTCCTTACTGTTCCTAACTTTCTAGTGAACCACAATACCATCTTTGCCTCAGAGAAGGAATGGAAGTACTGCCAAGTTTGGGGATTAAAAAAAAAAAAAGAATAAAGCGATTAAGATCATTCAGGGAAAAGCCTTCACTTTAGGAATCCCTTTTCCTGCTGCCTCCAGATAGCCTGATTGGGAGTCATGGGTAACTCCCTTTCTAGTCTGGGCCATCAATCTCCTATAGGATGTGGGAATTGTGGACCCATACCCTCAAAAATATTGCCGCATTTTCAAATGCTTATATCCTCCCTCTATATCACTCTTGCAAATCTCTGCAAGGTTTTAAAAAATCTATCCCTATTAAATTTTATATTTGTGGATTTGATATATACTGAATGTATTTTCCAAACTTTTCCTCTTAGATTCTTGTCATCTACAAATTCAAACAACTTGTCATCACTGCATTTGATAAAGTCATTCAATAACATATCCAATGACCCTCTTTGCCCTTTAGTGGGATATACTGAAACATCAGCCATGGCCTGAAATTGCTTATATTGATGAACTATACCTTTGGGTTAAGGCCCGAGAAGACTTGTTAAAATAAAAACGTAATATCTTGCAGTGGCAATCAATTAAGTTTTGAAGGTAGCAAGATCGGGGATTGAAGCCAGGTTCCACTGCATGGGAATTTGGAGACTTACTTTGCCTTCTCTGGCCCCCTGCTTCCTCAGTGAAAATAGAAAGACTAGAGCCAGCTTTGGAGTGTTGTTGTAAGGATTAATGTGGTGGCACAAATAAATGTACCTACCACGGTCCTGGGTTACACAGTAGACCTTGTTCCAACATCCCTTCTGACAGAAAATAACCTGAATAGCTAGGTGTGCCTGTTTTCTCCCAAGTACTCTGGCTTAACATTTGCATGGAGCCAGGAGTTCTTAATTTAAGATCCTTCAGGCTTCTTTATTTTATTATTTTTTTTAAAAGATTTTATTTGTTTATTTGACAGAGAGAGACAGCGAGAGAGGGAACACAAGCAGGGGGAGTGGGAGAGGGAGAAGCAGGCTTCCCGCTGAGCAGGGAGCCCGATTTGGGGCTCTATCCCAGGATGCTGGGATCATGACCTGAGCCGAAGGCAGCCGCTTAACGACTGAGCCACCCAGGCGCCCCCTTCAGGCTTCTTTAAAGAGTTCTCCTCCCATTGACTTTTAACTGTCACCGTACTCACTCTAGGGGAATGCTTTTTTTTGAGACTGGTAGGGCAGGAGGCTGTCATACTAAAACACACCAGTTTTTGATTTGATGAGAAATTAAATACACACACACACACACACACACACACACTTCCTCCATCTTAAGGCTACTTTCCACAGTCAAGGTGAGCTGGTGTAGTTACTAGTTTAAATTGTTTTTCTGGAACA